ACAGATCCTGGTGCCTGGGGCTTCAGAGGGGTGAGTCAGTGCTGCAGAGATGAAGCGCCCCCTGTGGGCTAGGTGCAGAACTGAGGCAGAGACAGCCAAAGCTCGTAGGGCAGGTTGTGCGAGGGACAAGCAACAGGAAGAAGCCCGGTGTGTATGTTGGGTGGGGAGTCTCTAAGATGCCCCCTACCCCTGATAAAGGCTCCTCACCACCCTCACATCCAGACTTGGACCCTTCATGCTGCACTGGGACCTTTCCCTACATCCTCCTCATGCAGCACTCTGGTCCTCAGGTCCACACCCCTGCATCCTCATGGGACAGAATCCTGAACTAACTGCCTCTCTCTCTCCCCTCCCCAACCTCTCCCACCCCATTACCCCCCACCCACCCATCTGTGTCTTGCTTCCTCCCAACAGTTACCTTTGACCCCATTGTGACATCAGGGGCAGTGAAGCCGGAGCCCATGCTCAACATCTATAAATGAAGCGAGAGGGAAGGCTTTGTACGCTGGGTGTTTGTTTCAAAGGAATACATTCAGGGGCGCCTGGAGGGCCCAATCAGTTGATTTCTGTTCTGGTCATGATCTCATGGTTCTTCATGAGATCAAGACCTAGGCTTACAGCCCAGAGCCTGCTTGGGATTCCCTCTCTCCCCCTCTCTCTCTGCCCCTCGTCTGCTCTCTTTCTATCAAAAATAAATAAACATTTCCTTTTTTAAATGTTTATTTATTTTTAAGAGAAACAGAGACAGAGCACAAGAAGGGGAGGGGCAGAGAGAGAGGGAGACACAGAATCCGAAGCAGGCTCCAGGCTCCAGGCTGTCAGCCCAAAGCCAGATGAGGGGCTCAAACTCACCGACCAGGAGATCATGACCTGAGCAGAAGTCAGATGCTCAATCGAAGGAGCCACCCAGGCGCCCCTAAAACAAATAAATATTTTTTAAAAATAAAGGAATATTTTCAGAAAATAAAATCTGAACATTCTTGGGCCCAAAAAAGATTCTCGTGGCCTCAGCTAGGTGTCCGGCCCTTGTCTGGCCAAGGCTGGGGGAGGGGCGGAGGTGATCTGGTCACATTGAGGAAGGGCAGAAAATTCTGAGGGGTCCCAAGAAGCCACAGGAAATTCAGAAGGAGGTGGGGACGACTTTGAGCTGAGAACAGGGGGAGGGGCCACCACAGGAAGAGCATTTCTGGAAATGACAACCCCAAGTGTCACATATCGCCCCACCCAAGTTTGAACAAATTTGGTCCATGTGAGAAACAGAGCTGAGATCACCGGCAGAATGCAAAAGCAAAGCGAAAGAGAGTTCAAAGTGAGTTTGGGGAGGTCATCGGGAGATAGGGTGAGAGGTTTGGATTTTTCTCCTAAATATAACAAGACATTACTGAAATGTTTAAGTAAGAGAGGGACTTGGTCTAATTTATATTTGAACAATTTTTTAAATGTTTATTTCTGAGAGAGAGAGAGAGAGAGCATTAACTGGGGGGGTGGGGGGGGGACAGGGCAGAGAGGGAGGGAGACACAGAATCCAAAGCAGGCTCCAGGCTCTGCGCTGTCAGCACAAAGCCCTGACACAGGGCTCGAACTCATGAACCACGAACTCATGACTTGAGCTGAAGCAGATGGCTCAACCGAGCCAGGTGCCCCTAATTGAAAACTAAGCCTGGCTGTGATGTTGAGAAGGCACCAGAAGCAGCAGAGCAGAGCAGGAATAATCAATCACTGCTGTCCCACAGATGAGTGAGGATGGTGGCTTGGACCCAGGCAGCGATTCTCCATCGAGGGTGATTCTGCCATCCAGGGGACAGGTGGCAATGTCTGGAGTGTTTTTAGTTGTCACAGTTGGGTGGACAGAGTGCTACTGGCATCTGAGGACTGGAGGCCGGGGCTGCTGCTGGGCAGCCGCCAAGGCTGCCACCCCTCAGGACTATTTGACTCAACATGTCAGTAGTGCTGGGGGGTCTGGGTGGCTCAGTTGGTTAAGTGTCCAACGTCAGCTAGGGTCATGATCTCACAGTCTGTGGGTTCGAGCCCCATGTCGGGCTCTGTGCTGACAGCTCGGAGCCTGGAGCCTGTTTCAGATGCTGTGTCTCCCTCTCTCTCTGCCCCTCCTCTGCTCGAGCTCTGTTTCTCTCTCTCTCAAAAATAATTAAAATTAAAAAAGAAAAGAGTCAGGATCTCAACTGACTGAGCCACCCAGGCTTTTAACTTCATTTTGAAGAAAGTATAGACTCACAGGAGGTTGCAAAGACGTAGAGGGACGTCCCGTGGACTCAAATCTCCTCCCCCTCCCACCCTGTGTTATCATCTTCCACAATTAAGTACAATCTGAAAATCAAGGAATTGTCTGCAGCACAATCAGGGCAAGACTGTGATAGGACCCAGGCTTTCCTCCTTCCCTCTCCCTCCTCCCTGTGGGAGGCTCCTCCTCTGTGAGCTCCAGGCTGGACGGGAGGCTCCCTGGGAGAAGGGACCCTGGCTCTCTCCTGAGAAAGCCCAGGTTTGGCAAAGGACCTGGGTTGGGGGGTGGGGGTGGGTATTAGGGGCTGGATTGTGCCCCCTTGCCCCGTTCATATGTTGAAGCCAGTACTTGCCAATGTGACTGTGTTTGCAGTCAGGGCCTTTAAATGGGTAATTCAGTTAAAGCAAGGTCACAGAGCAAGCTCAAATCCAGGAGGCTGGAGTCCTCCTCCTCCTCCTCCTCCTCCTCCTTCTTCTTCTTCTTCTTCTTCTTCTTCTTCTTTTTAAGGTTTATTTATCTATTTTGAGAGAGAGTGCAAGCAGGGGAGAGGCAGAGACAAAGGCAGAGAGAGAGCATCCCAACCAGGCTCTGTGCTGCCAGCCCAGAGCCCAACTTGGGGCTCGATCTCACAAACTGTGAGATCATGACCTGAGCCAAGATCAAGAGTTGGACACTCAGCCGACTGAGCCACCCCGGCACCCCTAGGACTGGTGTCTTTCTACGAAGAGATTGGGACACAGGCACACAAAGATGACCACATGAGAGCTCAGTGGGAAGATGATGTCTACACCCCAGGGAGCGAGGCCTAGGAAGAAAGTAACCTGTTCTGGGGTACCTGGGTGGCTCAGTCGGTTAAGAGTCCGACTTTGGCTCAGGTCATGATGTCACGGTCCATGGATTCGAGCCCCACGTGGGGCTCTGTGCTGTCAGCTCAGAACCTGGAGCCTGCTTCGGATTCTGTGTCTCCCTCTCTCTCTGCCCCTCCCCTGTTTGCTCTCTGTCTCTCTTCCTCTCAAAAAAATAAATGAACAGGAGGCGCCTGGGTGGCTCAGCCAATCGGTTGAGCGTCTGACTTCGGCTCAGGTCATGATCTTATGGTTCATGGGTTCGAGCCCCTCATCAGGCTCTGTGCTGACAGCTCAGAGCCTGGAGCCTGTTTCATATTCTGTGTCTCCTTCCCTCTCTGTCCCTCCCCACTCATTCTGTCTCTATCTGTCTCAAAAATGAATAAACTACAAAAAAAAAATTAAAAATAAATAAACAATAAAAAAATTTTTTTTAAAAGAAAGCAACCTGTTCTTCCAGCCCTATGGACGTCTCGATCTTGGACTCCCAGCCTCGGGGATTGTGGGGACGATGTTTTCTGTCGTTTGAGTTGTTCTGTCTGTGGTGCTTTGTTACGGCAGCCCAAGAACGTGACAGGAGAGCACGGACAGAAGCGACCACAGGTTGCCTCCTCCAGGACGCCTCCCCTGGCTTCCCAGGAAGAAACGACCCCAGCTTCCTCGGGAACACCTGTCCCAGCACCAACTGGAGGGTGGAGGCGAGAGGGGGGCAGTTATGAGCACTTCAGTGCTTTCCTGTTTCTCAGAAGCTTCATTTACCGAACTAGGTCCCCTTGAGGTCAGACACTGTATCTGATTTGCCTGTGTCCCCAGGAGGCTGCATGGCCCCTGCACACACCAGGTCCCTGGGCACGGGGGTTCATTGTGGGTGAAGGTGTTACCAGCAAGCGAATCCAATCTTAGGGCAGAAGAAGGGGAGCAGGAGAGGTGGGCTAAGGTCTTGGGGGGTAAGGGCTTCTGGTGGACCTGGGGGCGGAAATCAGGGAGCCCTCCCAGTGAGGAGGAAGGGGTGGGACTGACACTGGCCTGGGGAGGGGGTACCAGATTTAGCAAATAAAAACACAAAGTGCCTAGTTAAGATTTGCATTTCAGATATGAGCACGGAATAATTTTAGTACAAGAATGTTCCGTTGCGATATTCGGGACATACTTCTAAAAAAAAAATCATTCATCGTTTCATTGAAAGTCAACTTCAACTGGGGCACCTGGGTGGCTCAGTCTGGCTTCAACTAGGGTCATGATCTTGCAGTTCGTGAGTTTGAGCCCCTCATGGGCTCCCTGCTGTCAGCACAGAGTCTGCTTCGGATCCTCTGTCTACCCCCGCCCCCCCCCCCCAACTTCTGTGCTCTCTCAAAAATAAATACACATGTAAGAAAAGTTTAAAAAAAAGAAAAGAAAGTCAACTTTAACCAGACATTCTGAATTTTAACTGGCAAGGCCAGTCAGCCCCCAACCCCCGCCAGCACCCCTGAAACCCACCTCTGCATTGCCCACCTTTCCCAGGGGCCCCCCCATCTAAAGAAGGGTTCACTGTACACTTTCACTTCTGCTTCCTCGGCGACCTAGAGCCCAGTGGGAGAGCCCCTACCCTCCACCCACCCAGGCCCCATGGCCTCACCCACCTTCCACTCCCTCCCCCCAGAGGGGACCCCAGAAGGACCAGCTCTGCCATCTCAAGCACCAGGCAACCTCCTCCCCCGCAGCAACCTAGGAAAGATTCAGAGTCCTAGCGGGTGAGGCGGGGGGGGGGGGGGGCCGCGGTGAGGGGGGTAGGGAGCGGCAAGATGGGGGAGCCAGTGGGGGTGGGGCTCAGGACCAGGACCACAGCTTCACACACCAGTCATCTGGCCTGGGGTTCAGCTTCCGCAGCTGGTAGTTCCCCTTCTGGGGAACGAGCCTGTCTGAGGGCAGGTCCAAGTGCGTCCTCGTACAGAGATGGTCCTGTCACTGCTGATGGCCCTGCTGTGGGGCGGTGAGTGGGCCATGGGGCGGGAAGGGGCCCGGGTGGGGGCGCGGGCTGGGCTTGCAGCTTGAGCCCTCTGTCTCCTTCAGGGTCTCAGGCTCAGTCCCCAGGATTCTCCCTGCGAGTGCAGAGCGTGGTGGTGGTGCAGGAGGGCCTGTGTGTCCACGTGCCCTGCACCGTGTCCTACCCCCGGGTAGACTGGACAGAGGACACCCCGGCCCTTGGCTACTGGTTCGTGGCTGGGACAGACACGACCTTGGAAAGGCCAGTGGCCACAAACAAGCAGGACCGAGAAGTGCAAACTGGCTTCCGGGGCCGGTTCCAGCTCACTGGGGACCCCGGGAACTACAGCTGCTCCCTGCTGATCAGAGACGCCCTGGCAGCGGACGAGGGACTGTACATCTTTCGGGTGGAGAGAGGCAGTTACGTGCGATATAATTTTGTCGAAACCCCATTCAATCTGGAAGTGAGAGGTATGGAGGCGGCTCCAGCAGGACTGGGCAGGGGAGGGGGGAGGGGAGACTCTCCTCCTCCCTACCACTCCCCACCCCCACACACTGCGGGGAGCAGACCAGGGCTCCCCCGGCAGCACCCCCTTCTAGGGCTAGGACCGTGCTCTCTCTTGCCCCAGCCCTGACGCAGAAGCCAGATGTCTTCGTCCCGGAGACTTTGGAACCAGGGCGCCAGGCGACACTCATCTGTGTGTTTAACTGGGCCTTTGAGGAATGTCCAGCTCCTGCGCTCTCCTGGACGGGGGTCGCCGTCACCCCTCAAGGGCCTGGACCAAAATCCTCCTACTTCTCAGTGCTTTCTCTCACACCGAGACCCCACGACCACGGCACGCACCTCACCTGCCGCGCAGACTTCTCCAGAGAGGGTGTGAGCACAGAGACAACTGTTCAACTTAATGTCACCTGTGAGTCTGGTGGCCAGGGCATCAGGGTGTGCAGACAGGCACGGCGGGATGTGGCCGGTGGGGCGTCCAGACGGGGGGGGGGGCGTGTGGAGTCCCAGTCTCCCCGCCTCAGCCCCTGGGAAGGGGCTTGGGGCTGCCTTCTGCTCCCCTGGCCACAAGCAGCTCTGACACCAGTTTGTCACCTGTGGTCCCAAGGATAGCACACTTTCTCTTCCCTGAGGGGTTCCCTCTGATGGTGAGGAACCCCACGTTCCTCCCCCGAGCCAGCTCTCAATCTTGTTGCAGATGTCCCCAGAGACCTGGTTATCAGCGTGTCCCGAGCCCAGGTGTCAGGTAAGTACTGAGGGACTGGGAGGGCGGAGCCGGTCCTCTGCGGGGGGGGGGGGGGGGGGGGGGGGGGGGGGGGGGGGGGGGGGGGGGGAGGGCAAGGAAGACAGAGGATGAGGGAGACTCTGTTCCTCCCTGCAGCCTCTTTCCCCCCTCCTCCCCCTTCTGTCTCTGCAGCCCCCGAGCCCCAGGGAAACAGCCCATATCTGGAAGCCCAGAGGGGCCAGTTCCTGCGGCTGCTCTGTGCTGCCGAGAGCCAGCCCCCTGCCACCCTGAGCTGGGTCCTGGGGGACAGAGTCCTCTCTTGGTCCCACCCCTGGCGCCCCGGGCCCCTGGCTCTGGTGCTGCCCGGGGTGAAGCCTGGGGACTCGGGGTCCTACACCTGCCAAGCGGAGAACAGGCTTGGCTCCCAGAACCGCACCCTGAACCTCTCCGTGCAGTGTGAGTACAACCAGCAGAAGCCTGGTTTCTGGAAAGGGAGAAGGAGGAGGGGGGCGGGGGGCAGGGCCCCAGAGCTCTAAGGGGACCTGGCACCCCAGGCCTAGGGGGCTAACGATTCTGATTCCAACTCCGATGTGGGTTTTCCACCCACGCCACCAAGCAATTCTCTGAAGCCAGCTGGGCGTTCTATGGCTCAACTCAGGTGAACACTGTCCTCCTGGAGGTGAGGTCACATCCCACAGGTGAAGAGCTCGGTCCCACAAGGTCTCCCCCCCCCGGGTCCCCCACTTCAGAGGCCAGTCACAGGCCAAGCTGATCAGCTGGCTGTTGATCGGAGTTTCCCATGAGCCCCTGCTCCTTGAATTCAATTGCTTTGAGAAAATGGCGCGCAGAACTCAGGAACGTTGCACTCACTGGATCAGGGGTTGTTGTAAAAGATGTAATAGAAGACGGAAGAGGTGGGTAGGGGGCAAGGCCATTGCCCATGTACCTCCACGGGTTCACCAATCCGGAAGCTCTTAGAACCCCATTCTCTTGGGATTTTATGGAGGCTTCAATAGGGAGGCACGACTGGCTAAAGCCTTGGCCACAGCCGCCTGATTCACCTGCGGTCCGTCTCTCCTCCCTGGAAGTCAGGGGGGGATGGAAAGTCCCAAAACTTCCATCACAGAGGATGGTTCCCTGGCCACCATTCCCCCTCCAGAGGCCCCCCCCAGAGGTGATTTCCAAAAGTCACCTCATTTACATCAACCCAGGTGTGGTTTGAAAGGGGGGTTTTTTATGAATATCAAGACACCTTTGTCGCTCTGGTCATTTAAGAAATTCTGAGGGTCTTAGGAGCTCTGTGCCAGGAATGAGACAGAGACCAAATACATATGTATATACGTTTTTAAAATTTTTAAAGTTTATTTATTTATTTTGAGAGAGAGAGAGAAAGAGAGTGTGTGGGGGGGGGGTGAGTAGGGGAGGGGCAGAGGGCAGAGAGAGAATCCCAGGCAGGCTCCATGCCGTCAGTGAAGAGCCTGATGTGGGGCTCGAACTCACAAACTGTGAGATCACAACCTGAGCCTAAACCAAGAGTCAGACACTGAACTGACTGAGCCACCCGGGCACCTTATATATTTATTTACAAATCAGAAGCATGGAGACCAGCCCTTCTTACCTGTCTGTTCCCTTGAGCCACTCAGTGGAGAATAGGTCACTGGGTGATTCCAGGCTCAGCCGCCCTGCCCTCTCTGTCTCCTAGGCCGGCTCTCCGCCCTGAGGGAAGCGCCCTGCCTGCCTAGAGCCCGCACTCTGTCTCTGTTTCAGATGCACCGGAGGACCTGAGAGTGATGGCCCTAGAAGCCAACAGGACAGGTAAGAAGGGAACAGAGGAACTGGGGCCTCTCGCGCCACGCTCAGGGCCGCGCACCTTCAATGCCGGCGCGCCCTGCGTCCCTGTGCCCTCCGCTGAGCCTCTGACCTGCCTCTTCCTTCCCCTAGTCCTGGAGAACCTTGGGAATGGCACGTCCCTCCCAGTCCTGGAGGGCCAGAGTTTGCGTCTGCTCTGTGCCACCCACAGCAACCCCCCAGCCCGGCTGAGCTGGGCCCTGGGGGAACAGCCTCTGAGCCCCTCCCAGCCCGCAGACCCCGGGATCCTGGAGCTGCCTCAGATACAAACGCAGCACGAAGGAGTCCTCACCTGCCAAGCCCAGAACTCGCTGGGCTCCCAGCACGTCTCCCTGCATCTCTCTGTGGTCTGTGAGTGCGGGACCCCCGGGGGCGGGGCGCCCGGGGCCTGGGGAGCAGAGGCGCCGCTGACCCCGCCCCTCCCCCCACCCCGCAGACCCGCCGCGGCGGCTCAGCCCCTCCTGCTCCTGGGAGGGCGAGGGGCTGCGCTGCACCTGCTCCTCCGCAGCCCGGCCGGCCCCCACCCTGCGCTGGCGGCTGGGGGAGGGGCTGCTGGAGGGGAACCGCAGCAACGCCTCCCTGACCGTCACCTCCAGCTCCGCGGGGCCCTGGGCCAACAGCTCCTTGAGCCTCACTGGGCCGCTGGGCTCCGACCTCAGACTCAGCTGCGAGGCCCGGAACGCACACGGGGCCCAGAGCGCCGTCCTCGTGCTGCTGCCAGGTCTGGGGGACGGCTGGAGGCCCCTGGCGAGTAGAGGCTGAATGGGGGCAGGGCCAGGGCCCCGTGGTTGGAACAGGACTGGGAAGGTGCGCGGAGCCCCTGTGGCTGACGATGCAGAGGGAAATCCAAACTGGAAGGCCTGTTGCCTGGGCCCGGGGTTGCAGCGGGGTTTCCGAGACTTGGGCAGAAGGGGTTGCAGATAAAACCACTGGAACCTGAGTGCCGGGTGGCGGGTGGGGGTGAGGCCCCACGTTAACGGGGAGGCTCAGAGGTGGCTGACCGTTTCTTTGTGCAGATAAGAAGACACTCCCCTCAAAGGCATTCTGTAACGGAATATTTCTGGGAATGGGCGTCACCACGCTCCTTTTCCTCTGCCTCATCCTGGTCACGTGAGTTAGGAGCCCGAGCGATGGGGAGTGGGATCCAGGGCTGGGGACCCGGGAGGTGCCAGGGCGTACATGCAGGCAGCTTGTTTCCCCGGCAGGAAGACTATGAGAAAAAAACAGACCCAGGCAGGGACTCCCGCCCAGGCAGAGACTCTTCCAAACTCCAGGGTCACGCGGAGAAGCACGATCCTGGAATACATCAACATGGTCCCCAATTCTGGTCCCCTGGTGAGTGGCTCAGGTGCTGCCTCTACTTTCTCTGCTCAGAATCCGGCCCACGCCTCTCCCCTCCCCTGTGCCAACCCTTTTCCCAAGGGACAGCAAGGTGGAAAAGGTATGGACTTGGATTCAAGTTCTCTGAGACCTTGACCAAATCACTTTCACCCTCTGCACTTCCATTCCTTCCTCTGCTTCCTTTGAGAGTCGGTTTGACAACGAGAATGCATCATGCACTTGCTCAAAATGCAGCTGCTCATCCTCTGTTATCACCCAGATGGTGTTACTAATTCTAACTAATGATGTGATAATTGATATCATTGAGAAACAGTATATTTAGTGATGAAGAGCAGGGCTCTGCAGTCAGCTTGTCTGGGTGCAGTCGGTTTTATTGCTATGTGTTCTTGGAAAAATCTCTTAACTTCTCTGTGCCTTAGTTTAAAACGGAGAAATAGTACCTATTACCTAGGACCATTCCTTTTTCCCCCCTACCTAGGATCATTCTAAGTATTCACTATGCTCATTGTACCTATAAACATTTAGAATAGTAGCCAACACCTAGTAAGTGATCTACGAATGCTGGATATTTTCAGGAGAGAACATTTATTTTTTAAATAAATTTTTTATTGTTTTATTTATTTCTGAGAGAGAGAGAGACAGCGTGAGCAGGGGAGGCTCAGAGAGAGAGGGAGACAGACTCTGAAACAGGCTCCAGGCTCTGAGCTAGCTGTCAGCACAGAGCCCGATGTGGGGCTTGAACCCACGAATCATGAGATCATGACCTGAGCAGAAATGAAGTGGGCCACCCAGGTACCAGCAGGAGAGAACATTTATATGCCGATGACTCCAAAACTTGCATCTCTCAAACTCAGCCTTGAACTTTAGAGCCCTATCCAACAGTCCAGGCAGCAGCCCCATTTGGATGTCTAACAGGTGTCCTGGACTTAGCCTGTCTGAGAGGGAACTTACGACTGACTCCACTGCTTAAGCTTCTCCTCCATGCAGCCCATCTCAGCAAATAGCACCACATCTGCCCAGCTGCCCAAGCCCAAGCCTTGCGGTCATCTTACGCTCCTTTCTTCTCTACCACCCCATAACCGACCCATTAGCAAGTCCCCTTCAAAATACACCCAGACCACGTCTCCCCGCCTCTGCCACGTCCTGTGTGTGTTCCCCTCTTCTGCTCTCGCCAACCCCCACCTCGCTCTCTTTCTCTGTCCGTGGTATCCTTTAAAAACCCAAAGAGGGGGGCGCCTGGGTGGCTGAGTCTGCTAAGTGTCTGATTCTTGATTTCAGCTAGTCATGATCTTACAGTACGTGAGTTCAAGCCCTGAGTCAGGCTCTGTGCTGACAGTGCGGAGCCTGCTTGGGCTTCTCTCTCTCCCTCTCTCTGCCCCTCCCCTGCTCTCTCTCTCTCTCTCAATAAATAAATAAACTTAAAAAAAGAAACAAATAGGTGCAACTAATTCTCATGGACTACCACTCAGCCATCCAAAGGAACAAATGATTGAAAGAAACTACTGGTTGAAAAAAGCCTTGGAGGGGCGCCTGAGTGGCTCAGTTGGTTGTGTCCGACTTCAGTTCAGGTCATGGCCTCGTGGTTCGTGGGTTCAGGCCCCTTGTCAGGCTCTGTGCTGACAGCTCACTCAGAGCCTGGAGCCTGTCTTCGGATTCTGTGTCTCCCTTTCTCTCTGATCCTCCCCTGCTCACTCTGTCTCTCTGTCTCTCTCTGAATAAATAAATAAATAAATAAATAAATAAAACAGGGCACCTGGGTGGCTCAGTTGGTTAAGCGTCCGACTTCGGCTCAGGTTATGATCTCACAGTTTGTGGGTTTGAGCCCCGTGTCGGGCTCTGTGCTGACAGCCTGGAGCCTGTTTTGGATTCTGTGTCTCCCTCTCTCTCTGCCCCTCCCCCACTCACACTCTATATCTCTCAAAAATAAGTAAACATTAAAAAATTTTTAAAAATAAATAAAACATTTTTATTTAAATGTTTTTTAAATAAATAAATGTTATTTATTTCCTTAAAAAGAAATTAAAGAAAGAAAAAAACCTTAGAGACAAAAAAAAAACGAGAAAAGAAAAAGCCAAACTCAAATGCCCACATAGACATGATTCCACATAGACAAGGTTTATAACACCTTGCAAGCAATAAAACTGTAGAGACGGAGGACAGATCAGGAGTGGCCAGGGTTCGGGACGGGAGGGTGACGAGGAGTAGAGAGGGCAGCAAGGGGGGCGAGCTTTGTGGTGATGAACAGTTCCGTGTCTTGGCCATGGTGTAGGCTGCACGAATCCGCCTGTGTTTGTTGGCTGTGGCTGCCACAGCAAAGGACCACAGATGGGGTGGCTTAGACCACAGACGCTATTTATTGTTTGTTCTTGTCCAGGATATAACTCTAGTTCCTTAGTGCCTGGTGCATGGTAATCTCTCAAGTATTTGTGGAAGGAAGGAAGGGAGGGAGGGAGGGAGGGAGGGAAAGAAGAACAGAAGGAAGGAACGAAGGATGGCTGTTTCTCCCCCAGGCTCGGAATCGGAAAGCCACACCAAACAGTCCTTCCCAGGCCTCTCCTCCAGGCGCTCCCTCCCAGGAATGTAAGAAAAACCAGAAAGAGCTACATGCCGCTCCCCACGCTTGTCCAGGATCCAGGTCATTCACGCAAGTCTCAGAATCAGAGAATAACCGAGAAGAACTCCATTATGCTGCCCTCACCTTCTCAGGCCTCAGACCATGGGAGACCCGGGAGCCCAAGGATACCAGCTCAGAGTATGAGGACATCAAGTTCTACTGACAGTCTCCCGGCTGCCGGGCTGGGATCCGGGTTAGGTGGATGGAGAGGGTGAGGAGGGCCAGCATCCTCTCTCTCTCTCTCTCTCTCTCTCTCTCTCTCTCTCTCTGTCTCTCTGTCTCTCTCCCTCACCCTCTCGGCTTTAAAGGCAATTTTAACCTATCATCTCTGTGGGGTCAGCCAGCTAACCTCACAGGTCAAGCTTGGCCCGCTGTCCCACTTCAAGCCAAGAGTGTTTTTCACATTTTAAATGGTTGTGGGGAGGGGCACCCGGCCAGCTCAGGCGGTAGACCTTACAACCGTTGATCTTCGGGGTTGTGAGTTCGAGCCCCACCTCGGGTGTAGAGATTACTAGGATAATAATACTAATAAACTTTAAAAAAATGGTTGAGATGGGGGAATTGAAAGAAGAAAAATGTTTCCTGATACGTGGAAAGGATATGAAATTCAAATTCCAGTGTCCATAAATAAAGTTTTATTAGATCACAATCAAGACCATTCTTTTTCTGTAGGACTCTGGCCGATGTCAGGCAGAGTTGAGTCCGAGATATTTGCCATCTGGGCATCTGCAGGAAGAGTTTGCAGAATCATCATCTAAAGTAAACTCAGCCACTTATTTTTACAGAAGAGAAACAGAAGCGGATGTTCAGAGTGAGTTCAAGAGCAGCCCCGGCAAAAATGTCTAGATGGGCAACAGGACAGGAAGTCCCTCAGGGCAAGGACACCATGTGGAGACTGGGCACAAATGTGCCCTCCAACCCACGAATCTAAGGAAGAGCAAACGCATGTAGCAGGAATGCTCTCAAAATGGAATAAAAAGCAAAGCTCGCAGTGTACTCTGAATCAACCAGTGGGTGAAGGGAGAAGACTGACTTGCTTCTCCGAGGGGAGTCTGTCCCTTCCTCCTTCCCCGGAGGTCAGAGTCCTAATTGCTTCATAGAAAGCTCTCTCAGGGGACAGTTGGTACTTGCCAGGCAGGAGTAGCCCAGAAGAGATGTCAGCCTTTGCATTAAAAAAGAAAAAAAAAAAAAGTTTAGGGAGCCTGGGTGGCTCAGTCTGTTGATCCTCCAACTCTTGATTTTGGCTCAGGTCACGATCTCACAATTGGCACGTTCGAGCCCCTCAGCTGGGTCTGGCCTTGGGATTCTCTGTCTCCCTTCTTCTCTCTGCCCTTCCCCACTCTCTATCAAAATAAATGAATAGACTTAAAATAAATAAAGAAATAGAAAAATTAAAAGTTTGGGACGCCTGGGTGGCTCAGTCGGTTGAGCTTCCGACTCTTGGTTTTGGCTCAGGCCATGATCTCCCGGGTGGTGGGTTCGAGCCTCTCCTGGGGCTCTTTGCTGACAGTGCAGAGCCTCCTTGGGATTCTCGCTGCCCTCTCCCCCGGCTCGGGCCCCCTCATTCCCTTTCTCTCTCTCAGAAATAAATATACATTTTAAAAATAAATACTTACAGGGGCGCCTGGGTGGCTTAGTCGGTTGGGCGTCCGACTTTCGCTTAGGTCATGATCTCGCGGTTCGTGGGTTCGAGCCCCGCATCGGGCTCTGTGCTGACTGCCAGCTCGGAGCCTGGAGCCTGTTTCAGTCTGTGACTCCCTCTCTCTCTGACCCTCCCCTGCTCACGCTGTCTCTCTCTCTCTCTCCCCCCTAGAAATAAATAAAAAATATTTTAAAAAAAAAGGTTAAAAATAAATACTTACATACATAACAATACTAATACAAATAAGGCCACACTGGAGGCATCTATGGAACCGGGAGCATGTCCACCCTCCAGCAACAGTTGTCTGGCTCTAAAAAAACAGCTTTCCCCACTGCTTTGCAATCCCGCCTGAAGGGGGCGCTCTTGAGTGAAAAGGACTCTGAGCCCTAGCGGGGAACCCAGGGGTTTTGGCAGGACTGAGACATAAAAGGTCCATCTTTGACCAAGTTTGTAGTCCACAGTGTCAAGAACTAAAGAGCAGGGAAAGGGCTAGAAGGGAAGGCATATAATTTCAAAGGGTGACAACTTCCACGAAGAGGAAGAAGCTGGTGATGGACAAATTCATGTTTTCCAAGGTATTTGGCCGAGATGCCGAGGCTTTGGGTCCTGAGAGAGAGAATGACAGGATGTTCACGGATAACCCCCACTTCAGCTAAACCCTCTCAAATTCCAGAGCTATGGATTTGTGGAAATATTTGTAACACTGACTAACACCTATTGCACACTTACCCCAGGTACTTCGTTGAATGCTTATTACATTATCCCAGTCAATACAGAAACTCCTTTTTTTAAGTGTTTTATTTATTTCTGAGAGAGAGAGAGAGAGAGAGACAGCGTGAGCAGGGGAGGATCAAAGAGAGAGGGAGATACAGAATCTGAAGCAGGCTCCAGGCTCTGAGCTGTCAGCACAGACCCCAACGCGGGGCTTGAACCCAGAACCGTGAGATCATGACCTGAGCTAAAGTCGGACGCTCAACCGACTGAGCCACCCGGGCACCCCTCAATACAGAAACTCTTAAGGGAATTTTTGATGACTGAAGACTGGGAAAGTTTCTCTTCATCTTGCCAGATCTTAATTAATTGGTTCATGTAAGGCAGCCAGAAAAGGTTCAGAACTTTAAGAAAGAACAGATGTTAATCCGGAAGAATTTAACAAAACCTCTTAATTTGTCTACCCAAGGTAATCGTCAGTACTAACGAGCTGAGGGGCGCCTGGCTGGCTCAGAGAGTTGAGCATCTGACTTTTTTTTTTTTTTTTTTTTAATTTAGAGAGTGCAGGAGGGGCAGAGATAGAGAGGGAGAGAGAGAGAGATTCCCAAGCAGACTCCACACTGTCAGCACAGAACCTGATGCAGACCTCAAACTCACGAACCATCAGATCATAACCTAAGCCGGAAACCAAGAGTCCGATGTTCAACCAGCTGAGCCACCCAGGCACCCCAAGCATCCGACTCTGACTCTTAATTTTGGCTCAGGTCATAATCTCAGGGTGGTATGATCGAGCTCTGTGTTGGGCTCCACACTGACACTGGAGCTGGCTTAAGATTATCTCTGTCTGCCTCTGTCTCCCTCCCCCACTCATGCTCTCTCTCTCAAATATGGTACTACTACTACTACTAATAATAATATGATTCTTGCACTGGTTTCTTTTTTTTTTAATGTTTTATTTATTTCTGAGAGAGAGAGACAGCATGAGCAGGGGAGGGTCAGAGAGAGGGAGACACAGAATCAGAAACAGGCTCCAGGCTCTGAGCTGGCTGTCGGCCCAGAGCCCGATGCAGGGCTCGAACCCACGAACAGTGAGATCATGACCTGAGACGAAGTCAGGCGCTTAATCGACTCAGCCACCCAGGCGTCCCTGTCCATCCTGTCTTCAAATATGAAATGATTGACAGGACTCCTGTCCAATCACAGCTTGTCTCCTCATTCAAGCCACTAAGAAGCAGGTTCTGACTTTTCTCTAATATAAATGTTACAAAGAAGTTAGCATGTAAAGTTTTCTTTTTTAATGTTTTATTTATTTCTAGGAGAGAGAGAGAGACAGCGTGAGCAGGGAAGGGTCAGAGAGAGAGGGAGTCACAGACTGAAACAGGCTCCAGGCTCCGAGCTGGCAGTCAGCACAGAGCCCGACGCGGGGCTCGAACCCACGAACCGCGAGATCATGACCTAAGAGAAAGTCGGACGCTCAACTGACTAAGCCACCCAGGCGCCCCAGCATGTAAAGTTTTTGAGGATGTAAGGCTAGATGTGGAAACTGAAGAACAGCTCATAACTTTCTTCCTTTTCTCTGGCGCGCACTCTCTCAAAGCTAATAAATAAGCTAAAAGAGAGAGAGAGAGAGAGAGAGAGAGAGAGAGGTGTAGCAGGTGCAGTACATGGGAATGACAAAGGATTTGTCCTTTGTGTCCAGACTCTACCACTTACTACCAGAATAAGTGTAGGCAAGTGGCTTTTCCTCTCCGAGCCTCTATTTCCCCGTGTTTTCAAATGACGGTAACACTCCTACTCAAAAGCGGGTTGTAATGACTGAATAGAGACTGTAAATGAAGGTCCTTTATAAACTCTAAACCACCACTCAGACATTAACTATGATTATCTGAGTACGACTAAGTAGGATTATTTAAGTATGGTGGATATCCTTCAGAAAAACCGAATTTACCTATCGAGATCCAAATCTCACGTTTGTTGAATGGCAACTATAAAACTTGAAATCTTCTCAGCTTGTAAGAGGCTGTCCATTTGCATTAGCCATGGCCTCCAGTCTGCAGGGAGGTTGCAAACAGCTTTGGAGAATAAGATACAAAGCAAGAGTGAACACCGTGCTCCCTGTCTCATACACTCTCTCTGTCCTTCCTCCATAGTCACCGTGGGAGCCCCGATTGGGCTGTTATGGGTAGCTGATGGTATACTAGCGAGACCCACTCGGACTCGTTCTGCCTTCTTCAGTGTGCCGAAGGCCGCTGTGGACCGCATGACATACAACAGTGAATTAGCTGCCAGAATTCAAGTTGGCCACTAGGAGCCAGTATACACAGAGCAAGAGAATTACGGACTCGGCACTGGGATCACCCAATGCAATCACCTCATTTAAAAAAATTGTTTTTAATGTTTATTTACTTTTGAGAGTCAGAGAGAGACAGAGCATGAGCAGGGGAGGGGCAGAGAAAGAGAGAGACACAAATCTGAAGCAGGCTCCAGGCCCCAGGCTGTCAGCACAGAGCTGGATGCAGGGCTCGAACCCACAAACCGTAAGATTATGACCTGAGCTGAAGTCAGACGCTCCACCGACTGAGCCACCCAGGTTCCCCAATCACCTCATTTTAGACACAGGACTTAGAGAGGGACAAGGTCTTGCCTAACACCACTGGGCAAAGTGGCAGAAATGAGATTCATACCCAGACAGGCCCTAGAATAGATGAGCATTGCACAGCATGAATTCCTTTGAACAAATTTGGAATGGGGAGGACCCTGGAGGGGCTTCTGTTTCCATCCCTGTACCAAATCCTGCCATGAGAGCCATCTTGCAAAGTTTGTGTGACCTAGGAAATTTTTTTTTTTTTTCAAGTTTTTATTTATTTTGAGAAAGAG